ACACATATGATGTTTGTCAATCTTAAAAAATAATTTCCATGTCAAAAAAGTCACAGTTTGTCGTAAAACTGTTGAAATATGAGACTATGAAAAATACGCAACTAGAAAGACTACAAATCCCAGAATCCCGTGATGTCATTAACGTTACACATTACACTCGTGTTACTCACCGAAACCAGAATCCCGGTCCCGCATGCTGGCTCTAATGAACCGACTAACTCCCCTTGTGTGTATGTACAGCTCTCAACGTGCCCAGACTTGGAGTGATTTTCACCTCTTTTAATACTTTCCGCCTCATTCTGAAAGAAAGAAGTGAAATGTTCCAACGTGACGGCCATCTTGGTGTGTGGTGCAAGATGGGAGATGTAGTTCATTGAGCGGTTTCACACAAACACGACACATTTTTAATTTTTTTGACTTGCAAAATTATCTTTTAAATTGACAAACATCATATGTGTAATTCGTGGCACAATTCAAACGGGATCGAAAAATAATCTTTCTCTCTCCATTGACTTCAATACATACTTTTTCAGAAATAAGGTCCCATGGAGGAAAGGGAGGGACTTCACCTCTCTATAGATGGGTATTTTTAAGTTTTACAAAAAAAGCACCACACGCTTTGGGTACAAAACACTCCCCGAATGCAGATTAAAGTGTAGGTTCGTGGCTGATTGTTATGCAATGCCATGTAAACTGCTGTGACTTCATCTTCAACGTGACAGTGTGTTTCTCACTGGCTCCTTTCATTAGCAGCTCAACAGAATAATGTCCGCACTTCTTCATATGAACACTGCACAGTTCTGCTGGTTGACATTTCCTTTGGTGGAGCAAATCTGTGGTCTGCACATGTTGCCTAGTATCAGTCACGTACTACTCACAACTTCTGCTTACGGTAAACCAAGAGAGAGTTGAGTATGAGTTCGTTTCACACCCACATCTGTCCTGTAAGCCTTCACTTGCTTTTAGCTTTGATGCAACACAAGCCTGGAACAAACTGCATGAAAGTCTGAGGTCCGCCCAACCCACGGTTCAGCAGCCTATCTTCAGATCCTTTAACCGTGCCTTATCTTTGCACTTTGAGCTGTATTTGATCCATTTGATGAATTGTCTTGTGTTGAATTATGATGTGTTAAATGCCTATGTGAAGCACTTTGAATTGCCGTGGTGCTATACAGATAAGATAACCTTGAACCTTGTAAATGTTGGAGGATCATTCTATGGATGACCTTTGACCCACCTCTCTGCCACTGAGCGTGGATCTTGTTGCGGTACACAGCGTAGCAGCGGTCCAAGGCGCTCAGGTAGCACTCGATGGACAGCTTCCCGTCCACCACGGGATACTCTGACATCAGGTCGGGCTTGTAGAAGTCGTAGGCGTGCTGCATGTGGGTTCCTCTCAGACCTGCAGTTGACATTTAGATTCTTCTATAAAAATCTGAGAATGCCTAGCACTTTAGAATCATTTAAATCATGTCTAAAAACATTTATTTTTAAAATGTTTTTTACATTTTTAATTTTTGAACTGTTAAACATGGTTTTCTTTCTTTTAATTATTTTGTGTGTTTTTATATTTCTTCTCACTTTGATCATCGTAAAAATTTATTGTGTTTTATCCTGTAAAGCACTTTGCATTGCATCACTGTATGAATTGTGCTATACAAATAAATTGCCTTGCCTTGCCTATAAGTCAAACGTGTCGAGGCATGCATGACTGAATGTCTAATGCTGAGGTTTCTAAACACATCTTTGCAAAAATGTTATTTAGTTTTATGCTCGCTATAAAAAAAGGTTTCTGTTAATAAACTTTCCCAGAATGTCGGTGCTAGTTTCTGATACTAAGATTTAGTTCAACACATAACTCATCATACCTGTGCACGTTGTAAAAATCACTCAATAATACATTAAAACGATAAGAGTCACAAAGTAAACAGAGATCCTGAAAGAACCTTCCCTTCACCAGCAGAGAGGATCTGATCACAACTTGAGTGAACAGTCCAGTAGGTAAACATTGTGATGATGGGATCAGCCGACTGACAGTGGGGTCTTTGTTGGCGCTGCCACGGGTGGCTGCCTGCTAGAGTTGCTCGTTTTACCATTAACAATTTCTTTTGGGATAAATAATCTCTTATCTTATCAATAAGTCAATGATTGAAGAGTGCTGCCTGATCTTTGTGAACAACACACCCTCCTCACTGACCTCGTTCAAAGGCCAGAGGAGCGTTGGGCCCCACCAGCATGGCCACGGCCCCGGCCCCTCCTGTGGGCCGCGCACTTCCTGAGGCGTAAACAGCAATGTCCCCCGCTACAACCACAGCGTACCGGCCTGCAGGGGGGAGACATGAGGACACAGGTTACAGAACGTACAGTACACACACAAGTATCTTATCTTGAATAAATAGAATCATCAGAACAGGACCTTTGAACAGAGTGTTTTGTTTTACAACTAAGGCTGATAAGAGAGACCTCTTTCTGCTAAAAAGGTCGGATCTGAAGCATTGATGAATACCAAACACTTCTTAATAATGCTACACTTCAATAATGAAAAGAAAACAATGTTAAAATGTCAACACATCCAAATGTACACAATCCTGTCCACTCACCATCCCAGGAGCTGGACTCCACCCAGTTGACAGCATTGAAGAGAGCAGCTGTGCCCCCGTAGCAGGCGTTGGTGGTGTCGATGCCCTCCACATCTGTATTACCAGAGTCCTCAAACAGCTGCATGAGGACCGTCTTCACGGACTTGGACTTGTCGATGATTGTCTCGGTGCCGACCTCCAGGCGACCCACGCTGTCGTAGGAGAGGCCGTTCCTTTCCATCAGCTTCTGGACCGCGGTGAGGCACAGAGAGTTGATGTCCTCGCGGTCCGAGCAGAAGCCCATGCGGTCCTGGCCGAGCCCCACGGTGTATTTACCGGGAGCCACCCCGTCCTCCTGCTCCAGCTCCGTCTGGTCCACGTACTGCGACGGCAAGTACAGCTCCAAGGCAATGATGCCCACATCTTTGGGCCATGGTCCCAGGCCACTGATCGGGGCTGATCCTGGCATCCTGGAGGAAAGAGAGGAAGCGTTGGCGTTATTTTAATGTGATCAATATGTGTGTTGTCAGTGTACAGTATCATGAACGCTGATGTTGAAATGGATGAATAAACAGGGTGCTGCTCTCACACACAGAACACAAGCCGTCAGAATAATAAGGAAAAGGAGAGCTCCATCAGGCAAATTAGCTTTCAAACCATGTGAGTTAACTTTAGACTCGAGACATTATCTGTGTGTCACTGTTAGAGGTCTAACAGTATGTCTCAGCTAATCTGGCAGGGTTACTGAGACCATTGACCAAAAGGCATGTTAGCTAACGTCATGTCAGTGTGTACGGTGCTTGAGATACTATCATCTGCCTGCCTGGTGTTTAAAATCTAACCAAACTAACGACACACCGGGTTGCACACAGCACTAGCTAAGCTTACCAAAGATACAGCAAACCACACAGGAATGTGCTAACGCTAGCTTCTTCAAATCCACAAGCAGGACCGTTTTAAAGCCAAGTTTTGCTATCATTTGTCGTTCATTTAAAAGATTACACATACCTCACCGGCTAGATACAAGAGATTGTGTTTGTAGATAACCTTATGGATAGTGGAGAGGAAACTGGGTGAAAGGGCAGCACGATTTCCTGGAATTTAAGTCCGAAATCTGTAACCCCTAGTCACATTGGAGGGTCGATGATGTAAGAACATAGAGGTTTGTATAGCGTTAGGTTTCAGTGTTTAAAAAACGCATTTAAGGTAGATTAAAAACTATATTCAGGACACCGAATTAGCTAGGTCATGATAAAGACATAAAATATACAGTTAGATTGCAACCCGGACCAATTAGCGGACGGACCCACTTCCTCTCCAACGGCTAGCACACACATTTATATTTCATAAACACATTTCTCAACATTTTCCCAGTTTATATTTCATTTTCTAAATGATATTATACAAACAGTTAATTAAATTATGCAAAAGTAAAAAAGCCCAACAATTTTACATATGTCTAAACACTTTAATTCCTGAATGAACACTGATGTGTATTGTCATACTGATATTCTCTACAAACTGTGAAGTCCACTGAGACAAATTTGTGATATTGGGCTATATAAATAAACATTGATTGATTGATTGATTGATTGATTGATTGATAGATAGATAGATTGATAGATTGATAGATTGATTGGTTGGTTGATTGATTTATGTTTAAGTGCCTCGGTCACCTTTGCATGTCAGATAGCTGCCTGCCAAAGGACATCTTATACAGCGAGCAGAGCACTGGTTCCAGAGGCAGAAGACGACCACTGCTGCGCTTCAAGGATGTCAAGGATGTCGTGAAGCGTGACAACAAGACCCTGGACATTTTGACGGGCGGCTGGGAGAGGACCGGGCGAAGTGGTGCGAGCAGCTGCGCCAAAGTATTGACAGACTTGAAAAATACTGGATTCGTGGACTTGCTCAAACACGTGGACGTACTGTACCTCTCTGATTGCACTGTACAATCTCTGGTAAATTTCTTGCCAAAAAATGTGTTTTGGAAAATTGTTCAATAGTTTGGATAAAAATAACACAGTTGGACCTCCGTATTTTCTACAACTATCCTGACGATTTAACCACAATTACATAGAAGATAAACTCAAACACACAAACATGTTCATGCCTGCTGTCTTTGGGATTAAACACCTGAAGTTCAAAGTGAAGCTCCTCACCTGTGTGTGAAGTTAACTCCAGAGACACGATAGTTATCACTCGGTGTTACTTGTTTCCAGCCCAACAGTGTTTGACAGGCCGGCAGCGATCTGTATTTATATGAAGCGACGGAGAGCGGAACAGCCTACCTGGCCAACTGACCAATCACAGCTCACAAACAACATGCGGCGCTACCTAGTCCCGCAGATTTCTGGCCAATCGGAGAGTGGGAAACACAACCACGCGCCAGAGCCGTATCTGCTTTCCAATGGGGTGAGTTGTACGATGTCTGGTGAGAAAAAACAGCCAATCAGAGTGCGACAGTCCTTCCTGGCGCGGTGGACACAGCACTGAGCAACGGAGCAGCGTGTCCATGGCAACAGTCAACCATTCATACATTCAGCGGAGCAGGCACTCCTGCTGCCTTTAATACATGTTTTATTTGCCATTAAATGACTCAAATATATTACATTTAATAATACATTAAATACCAGCCCATATCTTGGTTTTTCCCGAGAGAAATCATTATTTATTTTATTGTATTTATTGTTATTACCATACCTTTTTTACCTCTTTGGGCTATAGGCTATAAAGCTGGTATCAAACTTTAAAAAAAGTAAGTAGTAGTGAAGTATCACCAGTGGTGTAAAATAAGTACATTTACTCAAGTACTGTACTGTCATTTTGAGGTACTTGTGCTTTACTTGAGTATTTCCATTTCATGCTACTTTGTACTTCTACTCCACTACAATTCAGAGGTACATCGTGTACTTTTACTCCACTACATGTATTGTATACCTTTAGTTACTTTACAGATGTGGATGAATGATGTGAAATCTAATCAAGTGTTAAATCAGACTTTAGTTCCACCTGGAGTAAATCCACAAGCTACCCTGCAGTATACAAAGTCATTCAAACTAGCTGCACCTTTACCAGCTTTGAGAACACTTTCATGATCAATCATTATAAAACATATCATATATATTATTCTGAAATGGACCAATCTGCAAAACGACTACTTTTACTGTTGCTACTTTAACTATATGTTGATGATAATACTTTTCTACTTTTACCCGAGTAACATTTTGAATGCAGGACTTTGAGAGAAATACTTATGAAACATCACTTGTGTTTCATACATAGTTTATTTGGTATTCAACGCAATGCATGTACATACATGTTTTATATATATTTGAGACATATAATATAGTATTGAGAAGGAGTATAATAGGGGACCTTTAAAGGTGGTACAGTTCTTTTGTTCAGCCTGTAGAAGTGTCTTAACAGTTTCCTGCCTGTGTATCATGGCATAAGCAGCAAGAAAGCAATCCAGCCACTCCAGTGCTTGGGAATAATTAAAGGAGACTTACAGCAGGCCAGTCAGAGGGAACCACAGAGACAGAGTTTTAAAATGCAATCACTGTTTATTTCTGTCAACCCATTAACAAGATCACGAGGCTGACTGAAACACCTCTCCTCGTACAGCAGCAACGAAAATTGAAATTCTAACAACATATATTAAGATTTCTTCATCCAAGAAACTAAACCGTTGACAGATTTGTCAAAACGAGTCTCGTAAACTTTAACACAGAACAACTATTCTAAGAGACGGGAGATGTTACTTGATGACTGGAGAAGCAGTGTTCATGCGTGTATTGGTGGAAGTGTGTCAAACCATTACATTAAAAACTAACACGACAACAAACTGAAATGTAGCTTCTGTGTTTATCAAATCTTAATAGTTATACAAACCTATTTAATCCTCTCCACAATAAAAAAAAACACTTTTCATTGTCAATATACCATTTCATAAGAACATTAGTACCGATTTGAATACAAAGAGATAAAAGCAGAGAAATCAAATAAATAGAAAAACACAGAAACAGAAGCCAACAAGAACTTCCACTGTATCACATCGTCCCCTCGCCCTAACTGGTAGTGTGGTCCTTTAATGCAAAATAGAATATATCAGAGAATTGATAGAAAAATACATCTTTCCATCAATATACACCGTATGCATGTAGATCAGGATGGGTGTGAACAGACGGTTATTGAGCCGCAGAGTCTCCCTCCCACAGAGACATTAGCTGGCTGCCTGCCTGCGGCTCCAACTCCTGCAACACAGAGAGGAGGAAACAGGTTACAAATCACACTAACTCACCAACGCTTTAGCTGGTCTCCATTCTATACAAAAGCCCCTCACTCATTTGTGATGATTCTCCTACTTGTTTTCTTCTATTAAACCCTTTTGTAATCCTATTTAAAAACAAAACATATTTTTATATACATTTGCTTTCGTATTCGGGATTGTGGGAAACGGTATTTTGATCTCTCTGTCTGTACACACAAACTGAAAGATTCACAACAAAGTTTACTTTGACTTGACGAATACTTTTCTACTTTCACTTGAGGAACATTTTGAATGCAGGAATTTTACTGTAACAGAGTATTCCTACACTCTGGTACTTCTACTTTTACTCAAGTACAAGATCTGAATACCTCTACTTTTACTCAAGTACTAGATCTGAGTACTTCTACTTTTACTCAAGTACAAGATCTGAGTACTTCTACTTTTACTCAAGTACAAGATCTGAGTACTTCTACTTTTACTCAAGTACAAGATCTGAGTACTTCTACTTTTACTCAAGTACAAGATCTGAGTACTTCTACTTTTACTCAAGTACAAGATCTGAGTACTTCTACTTTTACTCAAGTACAAGATCTGAGTACTTCTACTTTTACTCAAGTACAAGATCTGAGTACTTCTACTTTTACTCAAGTACACAATCTGAGTACTTCTACTTTTACTCAAGTACAAGATCTGAGTACTTCTACTTTTACTCAAGTACAAGACCTGAGTACTGACAAAGATCTGAGTACTTCTACCT